CGGCTTTGGTGAACCATTCCTCCTCGTAACAACCGTGACAGAAAGTGTTCGCCAAGCTATTAAAGTAGGCAAGCCTTGAGACATGGCTTGAGGACCCAAAGATGGTGGCCGCGGAATCATAGACCTCTTGAATGACCCGCTCAGCGCCTTCTCGTACCTCTGGTTTCTCGGAAGCGAGCGACTCTAGAAGGGCATCCGACAGAATTCGCGTGTCAACAAAGAGTGGACCAGCCCCCGAATCGACATTGAAAGGGGTGATGGACCTCTTCGAGTCAACCCATGCACGGCCCACTTCGATAATGGTAAAGTGCCGGGCGAGGTTCAAGAGGAATTCATCAACCTCAGGCTTGAACTCTGGTAGCGAGAGTGCAAACATGAGCGCCTTGATCAGCCTCTTCAGCTCTCCCTCATCCTCGTTCTTCTTGGCGATGGAGCGATCACGGTCAGAACCTTCAAAGGCGGAGATATCGATATCCTTTCTCCTGTTGATAAGATCCTGTGCTTGGAGTCGAAGAAGGCGAGGGAGATCTTCAGGCAGATTGTCAAACCCCACCCGCAGTTTCACCTGGGTCTTGATGAAATGGAGGGCTTGCCTCTTGTAGTAGGCGTCCTGCTGCTTGGTAGGTGCAGCCGACACTCCCTTCATGAACCGCGGCACCTCCATCAACTTTTGGATTGCCAGATCGACGCCATAATGTGCTGGGAATGCTCTGTCAATCTTTGAGCCAATCAGACGTATGTCGAAGCTGGCCACATCATCGGCAAACTGGCGATATTTCACAGGAAGAGCGTCCGTCATAAATTTCCTGTTTCGGCCACCTAGCTTGCCAAGAATTCGTAAAGTCGTGTGTGCATGGAAATGGTTGTAGGGGTGTGGCTTGAGATGGTCGAAGAGGGCAGCCATCAGCTCGTCAATGACCGGTGCCATAATTGGATCCAAATAGTCCGCGGTCAAGTTATCAACACAGAGTTCCAGAGTACGCAGGCCTTGACCAACCAGCTCGGTCCCGGCGCGCAAAGCCACCACAAGAGGCCTCATAAGGTAGCTGAGGTGGGGAAGAAGATTGCTCAAGCGTGCTGGGACTGTGAGACAAAGCTCGACATAGAGGTCTCGCTCTGTCGGCTTGCGAGCCGCTAGGAGTAGATTGTTTAGAACGTCCAGGAGCATCTCCAGCAGAGGCAAGATCTGCTTGTAAAGGTGCTCGAACTTGCCACCACCAATACTCCTAAACAGAGATCTAAGCAGAAGGAAGTAGTTCATCGGTTCCTCTGCCTTTGTCGAGAGTTCAATAGACTTGGTGATGATGTCAACCACATGCGGAAGCAGAACCTGCTCGTTCTGGGCCGCAAACAAAGTAACCGCCATGAATGCCAACTTAAACAAACGCAGGAGGATGGCCGACTTCTTCACATCGGCGGAGCCCACATCCTCGATCCGCTCCATCAGAAAGCGCAGAAGCATTCCGCAAAAGCTGGGCGATGTCGCTTCGCTCGCCAGAAAAAATTGGGGGATTTGAAGAAGCGCGGTGTGCTCGTGGATCATGTCGTACAATCGTGGGATCTCTTGCTGAAAGACCTCGTGGAAGGTCGCAGGGTCTACAACATGGAAAACCGTAGCGAAGGTCTCAAGGAGGTCCTTTTCCTCCTTTGTGAGGGAAACCATGAAGAAGTTTGCCATGTATTCGACTGTGGAAGTAAAGGGTGACTCGGCTGCAGGCTTTTCGCTATCGTAATACCGGAACACGTAGCAACCCTCACGGAAAAGCTTGACGATAACCTCAACCTCCTCAGCAGTGAAGCCGTAAGCAACATCAACCCAGTGTGCGGGTGCATTGGCCAGATCTGGCACGGTAGTCGGATTGCAGCTCTTCAACTGATAGAAAGTGTTCTTCAAGCCGGTCATGAGGTTCTTGAACAGAAACTTGTTGTCAACGACCGGATCGGCAGCACGATCCCGAGGGTTGGAGGTTTTGATGGGCATTGCGGAGAAGATGTCGATTTCGTCCCACTGCGGGGGGTGCTCCTTGTCAGCCAAATACGTCTCGGGCGTGTTGTTGGCAGCTTGCTGGGCGTACAGCTTTGAAAGTTTGACCGCATTTGCGTACTGCTTGTTCATGGCAGCGAACTTGTCGGCAATGGCATTGAGAATCATCATTAGATAATGCCGTGCATCGACCTTGTTCGGCAAGCGGGCAATACATTCCGCCATATTAAGTAGAAGTTTTGCGCTCATGGTTTGAAAACTGGTGCCGGGGAAGTTGTCTTGTAGGTTTCGCGTATACACCTCGACTGTCTTGCGAATCTGATCAGGAGTAAGACTGTCCCTTACGTGATGAATGAGGTCGGCCAACATGCTGTACGCCAACGGTCTCATGGTTTCGTATACCGTCAAACCGTCGCCTATCAGGGTGCGCTCATCCAGCAGTTCGTCGATCTTGGGCAAGAAGATTTTCCGGAAGTTAAAGTTGATAATGTGGCGAATAGCGACGAGCAGCTCCTTCCGCGCGCCTGACTTCTCTCGCGGACAGTCCTTCAAAAGCCTTACTATGATCTCTGGCAACACCAAGAGAAAATCCGACAACTGATTGGAGTATGATCTTAGAAGGTAAGCCAAGAAACTCATGGTCTTCACCTGGGCGGTAATGAACTCCCCATATGCCACCCGATTCTTGATATTGGGGCTGACGCCGGTATGGATGGTCCCTCTAGCTGCAGCGTCCAGGTGAGCTTTTTCCTGCGCTTTTGCCTGGCAAAGCAGTACCGACTTAATGAGGGGAACGAAAAGCTTGACATTGGCTGTCACACTATTGCGATAGACCTGGAAGATAGACACAACAATAATGGGACACTCGGACAGCACCCTGAAGGATTGCATGCCCTTCAGCAAGGGCCGACCGGATTGTTGTCCAGCATCTGCGCTGAAGTCGGCGGCGCCAGGGGCGACGGGAGAGCCTGGTCTCGGGGATTGTTGGTGTGGCATGAAGCTCGTTTGGGTGCTACCGGGGGTTGAAGGGGCGCCTGGGGGGCCGACCGCCGACGTGGATGTATCGTCAAGCTGTTCCTTTACTACCAATGCCATCTGTTCAAATAACTCCTGTATCAGATTCAGGAAGGGCTGTACTTTGGAACCCAGGACTTTGTGTTGGTGGCGCATGATTTCGGATATGATCTTGACGCAGAGAACCGCGTTGTCTTCATTGTCTTCTCGCACAAGACCCATGAGCAGGTCTACAACTTCTTCGGCAAAGGGTTCGAAAGGCTCGGGCGACGTGTTCGAGGTAGGGAGGCGATGAAGAATCTCGAGGATGCAGTTTCGCAGCTTCTGCATGTTGACTTGGTCCATCGTCTTGCTCTGAAACACTGGTGGTTGTCGCAAAATCATGATGAAGGGAGGTATCACGCGCTTGAGGAACGGAGAGTATGCTGGACCGGTCACATAGTGATCGAGGCTGTCGCGCAAGTTGATCGCGGCTTCGACCTTGAGCCGAAGCTCTGTAAGGAGGCACTCGGTGTCAGCACCGACTCACGAAGCACCAGAAGGATGGGAAGGGTAAGTAACGTACCAATTTCTGGAGTGCACAGCTTCCTGATGACATCGTCAATTAGGTTCGCCATGGCTGGCGACGTTCACCTCGGGCAGTAGTAGAAAAGCTGTCGGTAAAGCTCTATTGGCATGGAGGAAGGGGAGAAAGGATAGCTATGTTCAGCCTATACAAGTTAGTTACGATGAGCTCCAGGTCGCATGTCGGACCGAGTCGACAAGGCTGAGGTGACGGGACGGGCGGGAGGTATAACCAAGCATGATGGTTTGTCGGCGGCAGAATGTCGCAAAAGATGGGAAGGGGGTATGCTCGATCCACCCAGGCATACAAAGGCCAGGTAGGTACCTGTACAGAACGGGCGATCCACCAGCAGGTGCAGATGAGCTGTTGAAAGGCAGGTAGGAGATAGATGCAGGTTCCGTAAGGTCGGGCAGTAAACACCGGCATGAAGCTATTGATGATCGAGGGTCCCGGTAGAGGTCGGTAGGTAGGTGCAGGTAGAGGGGTAGCGATGCGGTCGGTATCGGGGAAGGCTCGATCCATCAGGCTGGAGATGGAGCGAGTGGAAACATGGCCTCGTCGCTCGGGAGAAGTAACTGAAATCAACACTCACTTATGACGCCATAGCAGAAGGAAATCGTCGGTATTATCATCCAAGTGCGGAGGACGGGGTATGGCAAATGAATAGTTATCGTAGGTAGCGCAATATGGCAGAGGGAGTTTGGAATAAAACAAAAGTAGTTGATGGGGTATCAAGTGAATTGCATCTCAAGCGGAAAAATGCGCCGCTGTCAGAAGGTTGCGACAGTTGCTCTCCAGTGGAAAGTGCAACCTGGGGCGGCAGAGCGGCGCGGTCGCAAATCGAAAAATCCCAGGGAACGCGAAGCTGGGGCGTCCGGTCGCCAAATCCAACGGCGCTAGGCATCCGTTTAAATATTGTTCCGAAATCTGCAACTTTCTGATTGGTCAACCGTAAAGCTTGAGTTCTCGGCAGGCAAGCCGGTTCCTTGTACAAGCGGCTGATGTGCTGTCGATCTGATTTTATCGAGTGGGCTTATCTTATCACTTACACGAAATGCCAAGACTGATCCACTGCCGTTTACGATCAGCGCTTTTCAGGGCCACCATCTGCGCGATGTTCGAGCAAAAAGGAGACATAACAAAAAATATGAGATGCGTTGCACTCTTCGTTTATTAGCTTTGGAACCCCTCTAGCACGCTCATGAGTCATTGACCCTTTGCGTTTGCTGGAAGTTTGGTTCAAGTGTTCAAGGCCTGTCACCTTCTTGTTCCCAAACAAAATTGATTTCTTGCTCTTCAGATCCATGTGGCCACATAAAGCTCAGGGTCAGTATTATGGCTATGTCCAAATTCTGTTTAGTCTAGTGTTCTAGAGAATGTACATGGTAATACTACAAGCTGTTTCTGACAAGACAAGAAAGGCCTTTAAACAAAATGCGCCGCCGGGTATTGCTAATGTGTTGCTTTATCCAATGCAACAGTCCCCAGGAAAGATCCCAAAGTAGTTTGTAATGAACGAAGAGAAAGAAAGTGTTGTTTATGGTTGAATGAGTGTTGGAGTTTGACGTCTTAACCCCTGAAACGAACGGCAAGGCGCCTCATCTTCTTGCCGGCAGCCTTGATGTTAAGAGAGGTAGACTGGCCGACATCGCAAACGGTGCCAGCAGCAAGTGGCATGACGGGCGTCCAGACGCCGGCAGCGCACTGCTGGTATGACTTTCCATCAACGCAGTTCCACATGCCATCAGTGCTGCAAGCAGATCCAGCACCGGAGCTGCCCGAGCCACCGGAGCCAGAGCCACCAGAGCCAGAGCTAGAGCCAGAGCCAGAGCCAGAGCCAGAGCCAGATCCAGAGCCAGAGCCAGAGCCGGATCCACCACCGGAAGAGCCGCCGCCGGTTTGAACAGGAGGAGGAGGAGCAGAAGTAGTGGGAGTATCAGGAACCGGGGCTGTGATGAAAATTCCACCTCCACCTCCACCAGGAGCATTAGTAGGAGGAGCAGCCGGAGCAGTGGTGGATGGCGAAGGAGACGATCCAGAGCCACCGCCAGAGCCACCGCCAGAGCCACCGCCGGAACCACCGCCGGAACCACCACCGGAACCACCACCGGACCCACCACCAGTGGTAGAGCCCCCGCAGTCTCCTGTGAAACCATTATCAAAGTCCGAGCCGAAAACATCGACTGATTTTCCGGGATTGGGGAACTTGTAATCGTGGTTTTCCACCGTCTTGCAGGTGTTGATGGAAGGGATGTTAGCCACGAGCATGTTTGGCAGCGACTCCCAGTTGGACTTAGAGCCGCCGTTGCCAGTGAGGACGACGGGCGCGCAGTTCATATAAAACTCGCGGTTGCCAACTCTGTTGAACCAGGTCCAAGCAATGGTGGCGTTGCCGGTTGGGATATTGTCGGGAATGGGGAAAGAATAATCGAATGGATCAGCGAGATTGGCATTTTCAGGCAGGTTTCCAGGAGTATTCTTCGCAGGGCAGCCACCTTCAATGGAGTGGATAACCTTCCACACACTTTCCTTGGTTGGGTTGGTGTCGTAGGTGATGGAAACCTGGCACGAGCCTCCTCCGTGGACTGCCGAGCCAGTGAAGGCCAAGGGCTGATTCGAGCCCAAAGCCATGGAGCTGGGAGTACCGGAGTAGACAGCCCCGGAGCCGGCCTGGCAAGGAAAGTTGTTGCCACTTGGGTCCAGAGGTCCATTCAGCAGGTGTGGGGATGCGAATGGCTTCGGAGTGTTCATCAGCATATGAGCCTGTGAAAGCACGGCGAAGCCGCCAGTGGCGACGAGAGCTTGTGCGAAGAGCATGGTTGCGAACTGAGGTTATTCGTTCCAGACGAGTAACTTCAAGAATCCGTGAGGAGAGTAGACTCGTGTAAGGATTTCTTTTGGGAATAATCGTATTGCGTCAAATGTCGAGGAGACGGTGTCGTTGGCTTGAGCTCGGGAGAGAACGCTTGAAAACCGGAATAGTTGTCTAGTGATGAAAGAGGGTAATGCGCCAGGCAGAACACAAGACAACAAGATGATAATAGTAGAAGCCTCTTAGGGAGGAGGTAAGGAAGGCCGAGTCACCAAGAGATGGTTGCTGTTGAAGAGAAGCGGACGACAATGGGCCTTGGCCGGTGAAGTCTTATAAATGAATGAAAGTACAGCAGAGTAGCAGCGGAGATAGAGAAATGCAAGGCTCTCAGTTGTTCGCAAACGGGGATAGAGTTTTGGGAACTTCTGCAGGAACAGAAGTGACTAGCGAACTATTGGGTAGGAGAGCACCACTCTGATGGGGAGGAAACACAGTGGTCCACATGGAGGATGGGCATCATCTAAGCTGGATGGCAAGTATTGACCAGTCAGGGTCAGTAAACACCTTTAGCCCCTCGTTCTGTAAAGCACGGAGGAATGACACGCGTGGGCCAAAGACATTACTTACTAGTCTAGAAACCCAGTTTAGGTTGATGATAGGCTGTGATGGTTTGTTTCAAACGCATTGGATAGGCGTCAAGCTTCGGGGCTTCTTGGTACTGGAGACGATCCACATCAAATGGTTCGATTAGAGCCGCAAGCTTCCAGACATGCTGTTGGGGGGATGCATGGAAAACGTGATACTGTCAAGGAGGGAGGAGGGCATCTGCAGATCTGGACAGCCTGTAGTGAGATATCTATGGCGTGGCACGGACAGGCGAACGGCAGAAAGAGTCTGTTGTCCGAAACGTCAACTTCCCGTGGGGACTCATCAAGACGCTCAAAAGAGGCCTTTAGAGTCCCATACTGAGAGTGTGAAAGTAAGTATTTTACCTACTGCGTAAATGGCAATCATGGCACTTGTAGGACGAGGTCCGTATAATCCCATATCCCTGCTTGGTTATTCCCGGTGGCAACGGATACCCTGAAACCCAAAAATGACGGCGTTTACTATCTCCGTTTGAGCTCAGTGAGCGGTCAGCAAGGAGGCATCCCACATTACCTACGGTGGATGTTGTCGAATCCGACTAGCCGTTACCCTAGGGCTCCCAATGAGGCCTTCTAGGTTGCGCTTCCATGGACGCGGTACTCAAATGTCACTTGCTAAACTGGAGGTGACCAGAATTGCGGCCTGCCTTTCTCTTGGCAGAGTAGGTATCCTTGCAAAGCGGCAAAGTGCAGAAGCTCGGGCACTCTCAACCGGCCAACACCTACCTAAGTTAAGACCCACGACTTGAAGCCCAACGGCGCTAGAGTCGCAGGGAAAAGTTGCAGTAGTTGCCAGTGCATGATAAAAGACCATGATAGACATAATAACAAGAGAACAAGTGATGAATATTGAAACATTCAGGAGCCCCAAGATGCGGGGTCCCAGGCATAAAGTGGTAGGACTGGGAATGAATAAACTGAGGTGGTGGTGACTGATGATCGATGAATGACTGGACATGGTTATCGGGTTCCTGCCAAGGACAGCGTGGCAGGGGTTTCAGAGGATCAGGGGTTCCCCGTTGCTCGAACTCCCATTTGGCAGCCTGCAAAAAAATGAGGCAAGGTAGTATGGATGCATCTGGAAGCAGATGTTGTTAGTCTCTCATGACAGACGTTCAACCTTAGTCAGCCCCCATCCACTTCCCCGCCACCCCGTAGCACAGTCGTTTTGGACCTACAGGGCCAAATAGTGTAATATTAGGATTACGTCTGTATACAGTTTGGACGAAAGTGCTCAATGTGTGTAAGAAATGTCCTATTTCAATATTAATATTCGATGATTATACTACTACAAAAATTATAATTTCGACTAAATAAATTATTTGAGGATAGGACGAATAATATATTAATTTCTCTAAACTTTGAATTACATTTCTATAACGCTTTTATCATTTACTAATACTATGGGGGTAACTTTTATTATACATAAAATTATATTCCGAAGGATTATATACTATTTTTCTATAACTTTATATTGTATATACGCGAAATTTCGTATATACAATAGAAGGCTATAAATTTAATACTAACGAAATAATAAAGTTATTTCATCGTATTACTAATTTTCGGTAGCCTAATACGTCTCTACCTCCTGAGTTAGCTCTCTAAAATTAAATTACCTAGGGATTGCGTTATATAGTATTTACTAATAATAAAAATATATAATACCACTTTATTAATGTAGTTACTACCTATCTATTGAATTAGGGGTTGCCTACGGGTTCGGATTAATACCGTATAAAATTTAATTAAATTGAATCTATTTATTATATTATCTATTAATATAACGATACGATTTTAATTATTCGTACGGGATATAGTAAGAGTATTATCTTTTAAATAATATTTATTATTTTAATCAATTAAATTACTATTTAAATTATATTACTTAATTAATTTAGTAAAGAATAGTAGAATATTATTATTAAATTTCCTAGTACCCGACCTATTTTAATTAATTAATTAACTATAAAGGTAAAAACCTATTTATTCTTAATTTAAATCCGATAGGGGGAGCTTTTTTAAAAATTCCCCCTATCGGATTTAAGTAGATATACGCTGTTTATATATTAATACCCTCGCTTCTAGTTAAATCTAGAGTCTGGAAACTACACGCACATCCTCCTCAGTCTAGAATAAGCCACACACGTGAAGTTTATAGAATTATTATATACGGTTTTATTTAATTAGTGTATTGTATTTATTGCTATAGACGAATTGTATATTATATTTTAATAACGTACTTTTCGGATGTAATTTATAAATATTTATACTATTAAAATTATTATCCTATCTAATATTCCTTAGTTCGGGTATACAACTATCCTTATATATAAAATATAATTGTATATATATAAATACGGCGGTTTCTAGTTAGAGGGTTATAGTTTAAGTAAACTCTCTATTATCCGTACTTCTATCGACCGATCTAATATTATAATAGTATTCTAATTAATTCTATTAAGCACGTTTAAAAATTACTAGCGGTTTAAATTCGTCCTCGGTGTAATAATGCCTAGCGACCCCTAATTTAAAATTTATTATATTCTAAAAATTATTATTTACATTAATAGTAAATTATTACTTTTCTCTACTTAGTCGTATCTTTTGTAATATTTTATAGCCTCCGGTTATAAACCTTTTCGTATTGTGAAGGTAATCTGTAAATACAACGCTAATACCCGTTTTATAGATTAGAGGTTTATATATAAGGATTTTAGGCAGCCTAATTCTATATACTAGATAATACTCGCTATTATTTCGTTCGGTATAGGTATAAATATTCTAAATATACGGCGTATAGTATAGTACGGCGCGGTAAAATTAAATAATATTGCGGACCTAATTTAATATTTTAGACGTACTATCTATATAGATCCTACTATATATAGTATAGGGATTTATTTTGTCCTTTATTATTAATTTAATTATTTTAACTAATTATATAAACCTACTACGAAAGAGATTAATATATATTCTAACGGCAATAGATTATATTATTATCCCGCTATTCTAATACTTAAAGTTTAATACGTACCGCCTCCTCCGTCTATTAATATTGTATTACAATATATTACCTTAAATTTTACTTTAATTAAGGAGTTAATTTAATTATTTAATCCGATAGATAAGGATATTTCTATTTTAGATAGAAATAATACTTTAAATAAGGAAGGTTTATTTAATAAAGAATTATCGGAAGATGAAAATACTATAGTTATTAAATAAGTCCTATAGGACTTAAGTATAAGCAATAGCCGTCGATAGCTTCGTATTTAGAATAGTATAAAAAAAGTAGTACGTATTAAAATTACAAAAAAGTATAAAGAAATATACAATTTTATTAATATACTATACTTTAAATTATATATTAAGAAGCTATTATAAGAACCTAGGCTGTACCCGACCTTTATATTAGGGGAATTGCGTAACTATATAATAAATTTTAATATTTAATACTTTAGTACCGTTCCTATCGTAGTCTATCCTTTATAATATTATAATAAGTATTACCCCCCCCTAGGTTTCCTACTACCCGTCCCGAGAAAGAAATTTAAAGTTATTTTTAATTACTTAGTAAAATTATTTAAAGCCAACTTTATTTTAATTTAATTAAATTGTTTTATAGCTATTACAATTAAAACTCTCTATCCCAGTATCCCTAGGCTCTTTAATTTACCTAAAGAAACTTTTATATTCTTAGATCTTATATATGTATTTACATATAAATTTAGTGGATAAATACCTATTTGTATATTATAAGATCTCTTTACTATTATTTTAAAATTCGAAGTATAAAAGTAGTTAGGGGATTATAGTAATATATTAATTATAGAGTATATATGTATTATATTTATTGTATTAGAAGCGTTTATTATTAATTTAGAATAAATTATTCACAATTAAACGAATACGGGAAAGAGGAGATTAACTAAACTAAAAAAAGTATAGTATTTAAAAATAATTAGAGGCACGGGTAATAGTTCGAATACTATAGGTTTAACCCTATATATAGTTCCTCCCGTAAGTATATACGTAAGTATAAGCCTACCTATTAAAAGGGCGAAAATTAGTACTATACTATAAAAAAGGAAGAGGTAGCTATAAATACTAAGTGTTTTAGAATTCCAATAAATATTTAAGCGAAGTCTATTATACCCTCGTCTAAATCCTATAGGGGTAAATAAAGGATAATATAATTAAATAAGAATTTTAAAACTTACTCTAAACCTAGATAAGAATTTTAAAATTTACCCTAAATTTAGAGGTATATACTCTTAGGGTATAAGAACCCCTATTTTTCTAGAACGAATTTATCCTTCCTTCCTTTTATAAACTAATTATACTTTCTTTTACCCCCATCGGATTTAGATTTAATTTTATAAATTGTTTTTACGCCCCTATAGGATTTATATCTAATTTTACAACTTATTATAACTCCCCTTTATCGGATTTAAATCTAGTTCGTTGGATTATCTTTACCGAAATTAGGTCTAATTTCAATTGGAAGTGATTTATTATCCCCCTATCGGATTTAAATTTAATTATAATTAAAGTAAGATATATTTCCCGCCCTTTATTAATTAGTAAAAAATATTCTTCTAATTTATTTAGATAGTATTAGAAAAGACTAGTACTATAAAGCCGGTGTATAATCCGAATTCCAAAGTAGA